CACGTGTTAATCACTCTACTTCCAACACATATCCTCCGTCTCTACTGCAGGTCCCGAGAACATACTGCATTGACCAGCTAAGCTTCTTTGCTCTTAGGGCTGCACGTAAACAGAAAGTGTCTGGCTATGTGTGTGATGGACGAGGTCGGGTTAGAGTAAGGATAACTGGCGAGTAGTTGAATCCATATCACTGAGTTCAAAACTCAGCGAGCCGCGAGAACGTCACAATCGCAGGCGGTCTTGATCTCGTGTTCAAAATGCCCATAAATCTCAATAATTTATCGAAACCTTGGAAATCGTGTTTGTAGTGGAGTATCAATTGAGAATGGTGGTTCTGTGGCCAGATGGTCGCTGTGGCTTGCAGAGCTTACTCATTCGACAAATACCAACTTTCCGCCATAAATGACGTCAGTAGCGTACCATGGCATGCAAGGTTCTTTGGAAGTACGAATGAGGCCAACGGGATACCTATAGGGGATATACGCTAGCTTTTCTTGCGTGTTGAATTTGCTGAGTTCATGTGAATATCATTACTTGCTGCGTAGTAGCATAGTATGCCCCTGAGAGTTCAAGCCGATTGTATCATGTTGTTCTTGGTCTTCGTAGAGCAAGCAGACATGTGGTACTTTGTAAATGGACATAGCATTAACAAGTGCAATCTATACACATAAGCCCCTCTATTTTTGATCAAAGTACGTAGTATCCCAGGGTAAACATTACCGAGGAAGTCTTGTATGTAGATACAATGACCAAGATAGAATATGAAGATGCTACCCAAGTTGCCTGCTCAACCACCCTCGAGACATGTTGTAACGTTAACCTGGTCACACGACAAGAATGAACATGCCCTATTCGCCAGTGAAGCCACTTGACGTATGTACCCAGGCGTTGTTTGGACATGCTCTACGGGATAGCCAAAGATAAACATGCGTCCACGCGGGGAGCTCCAAAGGGGTTTTATTGGGGTCAGCCACTGCCATGTCGACATGCAGCCATGTTATGTCGTGATTTCTAGCGGCATTGGCAGGGAAACATTATGTGCAGTCTAGCACGCGGGTGACAGTTGCGATCTAACGAGACCGCTTCATGCAACGCGTAAAAGTGTCAAAAAAGACCAAGTCTGATGCACCTTTTTCGGAGTCTGTCGGCTGGTCGGGTTCAGCCCTGCTAGCGTGTAGCGGGGGGCACAGCCAACCCCACCACCACATTGCCATCTTGGCCGTTTGCAACCCACTTAGTGACATCAAGCTTGCTGGCCTTCAAATCATTGCGCTGTATGGGTTTGTACACTAACCTATTTTCATTTCTCTTACGCCTGCGTCTAGATCAGGGCAGCCGCTCTGCTTGCATTTCCTTACGCCACCGCTGGCTGACCCGCGGTTTACTGGCCGCAGCATGGCCAACGCCGCCTGGAATTGCTGGGCCCACTAGTACCTGTTAATCCGTGTCGCCGGTAGGGATTTTGTGTTCAACAGCAATTGTGGACTTCGGCAGGCGTACCATCAGCGATCGGCAGTTTCCTGTTGTCTGGGTCAGCCGTATAAGAGTCTGCTAGTGCCCCTCTTGTTTTTCTTTTCTCAAGGGAAGGCTTAGTGTGCACTGTTGTCTAGATTGGAAACCATCCGGACTTCTCTCTTAACTACCATTCCCCTACTAAGTGCTCTATCACGCACATATCTCGTCTTTTGTAGGATACTTGGAATACAGATTCTGCAGCACATTCGACGGTCGCCCATCATGACGAGCAAACCAATCTTTGTAGCGACCCATCCACGAGCATGCTCAACAGCCTTTGAGCGGGTACGCACCACGACGTTGTTCCCTCTCCTCACAAAGTAAGGTTCTCACGGTCATCTAGGTCTTCATGACACGTCACGAAACACTCCAATGTGTTCACGAGCCGTTTGGCGACGCTTACTACTTCGGCCCTGAACGTCTTGCTGAACGCTACGAGAATGACCCAAAAGCCAGGAAAGAGAGTGGTTATGAGGAGAGCACCTACAGAACCATTTTCGACCGCATCGCGAGAGAGAACGAAGAGGTTCGTTTGCTGATATTTCTTTGTCCCACCGGTGTCATCACCCTTCTTTCCATAACATTCCATCCCTAAGGTACTTCTAGCATCATTTCCAATGTCTTATCTACACGACCTGTCTCATCTTTCTTTTCTTATGCAATCTTTTCGCATATTTCCGTTTTTCGTTATCTGTTTTGTTTGAGGGGTTTTTTCCAAATTTTCAGTTCTATCCTCTTGCCCAATCATTGCATTATCGTCACGGCTAGGCTACACAAACCCCAGAACACTCGCCTATGTTTGCATGAATTGGAGGATGAACTCCAATTTTTTTCATACTATCATCAAAATCATCATCATTATGAAACAAGAATTCTCACAGCTGTTTTCGCGTCCTTCTTCCCAGTTTATTATCGTTACTTAAATACTAGCAAAACATCCACTTCTCATACCGTCAATAAACCTCACACTCATCGATGTCTAGGGAAAACGCGTGTTCATAAAAGACATGGCGCAATACTGGATTCCACCATCGGGCAAACCGGCAACCATTGCACCATCTCTCTCCAACTACCGCCGCGGCGTAGGAACAAACACGACAGAGCTCTCGCCAGTTCCTACACGCTCTGACCCCGACAAACCACCGTACCCATACGACACCAAAGGCGAGCCTGGAAACCCAACCGTGATCCCCAAAGACCTGCTCGCTACATACCACTTTACCTTTTTGATCCGCCACCCCAAATACAGCATCCCATCGTACTACCGATGCACAATTCCCCCACTCGATGCCATGACCGGCTTCTACAACTTCCGGCCCGATGAAGCAGGCTACGAAGAGCTCCGCCGCCTCTTCGATTTCCTACGGGCAGAAGGCCAAATCGGGCCAAAGTTTGCTGGCCAAACCGACGAAGCGCACAAAGAGCAGGCTAACGGGCACACTGGCGGCGTGGAAATCTGCGTCATCGATGCCGACGATTTGCTGGATAAGCCGAGTGAAATGGTCGAGGCGTTTTGCAAGACGACGGGTATCGAGTGGGATCCTGGTATGCTGCAGTGGGACTCGGAAAAGGACCAGAGCATTGCTAAGGAGGCGTTTGAGAAGTGGAAGGGGTTTCATGAGGATGCGTTGGATAGTGATCGCTTGAGAGCGAGGACGCATGTAAGTCTCATTCCACCATATTTGCTGTGGATGGATTTCGTTTGATGGGGTTGGTGGCTGACGATGAGTAGAAGAAACAGCCCAAGTCAGATGAGCAAATGTTTGAAGAGTGGAAGGAGAAATTTGGCGAGGAGGGCGCAAAAACAATTCGGGATACGGTTGCGGCGAACGTGGAGCATTATGAGTATTTGAAGCAGTTTGCTATCAAGATCTAGGAAGATGGAGATGAGTAGAGTTCCATACTACAACATGACTTTTGAGTTTCTTTCCTTTGCTTCTAAAGCTAAGATGGGATACAAAAAACAAGATAGAGAGGGAGGGATAAAAATACATTATGCACCCAGCTGAAGGTGCAAACAAATCCCGCATGGTTCGCCAAAAGAAGAAGATAGCCCACCAAATGCATGTAATCGTACCCTGTGGGAACAAAAAAAAAGACAAAAGAACATCCTCTAACACCATTTCCCAAGACACCTGCGCTGGCCCAAACAAATCAAAAAAATTCAAGATGGCAAGAAAAGAATCAAGAAGAGGAAGCATTTCAGATATGAAGATCGCCCATCTCAATCTGCCGTCTCCTCTCCTCGCGACTCAAATTCCTCGAATGACTACTTTGTCCACCCGCACTCTCCGCCCGATGCGCACTTCTCCCTCTCTCCTGCAACTGCATCCACGCCTGCTGTTCGCCAAGGCTATCCGGCCTGCTATGCCCCCTGCCCCGCTGCCACTCCGAGTGCGCTTGCACAGGGGTACCCACGAGTTCCTGACTATGCAATTCGCGGTCGTGCTGGTCCGGGTCTTCGGGGAGATCAATGTGGAACGTGCTGTTTGCGTCGGGACTAGGTCTTGAGTCTGATTTGTGGAGGAGAAGCGCCATTTGCTGGTTTACGCGGTCGTCTTCGGTGTAGATGACGGGGGGAGGGTGATCGGCTGGGCGCATGGCGGTGGGGTACATATTTGTGACGAAGTTGTTGTAGTAGGATTGTTCGGACCAGAGGTTGGTGCGGGCGTCGGGGTGCTGGCGCGGTGGGGACTTGTTTGCGGCCCGGAAGGTGATGATGCAGAGGACAGTGTAGGTGAGTGTTGCGACGGCGCTTAGGACGGTGCCGGTGGTGGCTGAGAGGCCCCAGTGGTAGGCACTAGAGGATAGGAAGTTGTAGGCGATGGAGATGAGGCCGAAGGCTGACGAGGCGAGTGCAGGTCTATGTTGGATATGTTAGCTTTGCGCTTGCTCGTGGTGGGGTGTTTGGGGGTGTTCGCACAGGAAGACGTGTTCGGCTTGAAAGTGTTTGTCGCGACAGGCGAAGCAGAGCAGCGCGGTGAATGAGTAACCGGCTGTCAGCAATGCGACAACGAATACAGAGAGGACGGCTTGAGTGAAGCGCAGCTGTGCGTCTTTTGCGTAGAGCCCAGGCAGTATGAGGTACCTGCGACCATGGTTTAGTTTACGGTGGTTCCGTGTAGGTAAGATTGTGGTACACTACACACCCTCCAAGAATCATCCACGATGCTGCTATGGCGATCAGGCGCCAGTACCACGGGGGTCTCTCTTTCTCCTTGCGGCCATGGTCGTGAATGCTCACATACGCGTCGTTGGCAGAGCGCATTGGATCGGTGGACGAGGGCGTGGCTGGTGGTCCGGGTCACGATTCAGGCGGTTGCTGGCGTCTTACCAGCGGGCGACGGGGAAGCAGATGCTCATACGCGACGGGACGGGACGGATAAACGAGTGAATGAGGTGAGGCAGATGCCTTTAACCAACGTCCCTGTCGCCGTCGTCGCCGTCAAGCTGGGATGCCTGCGCCTGGCCTTCTCGTCTTGAATTCAGCCTGGCGACGTCGTGCACGTCACTTCGGTCCGTTGAGTTGCAGATGCAGCCGAGGCGCACGGCGCAATGGTTTCCAGCAGGTGGTGGGGGTCACCAACACCACTAGCAGCGCGCGACGGAACAGAGTGAGAGCGGAGAGAGAAAGAGGTACGGTTTAGGCTTTGCGAATACCGTTGGAAGCTGGGAGAATGGGAGAATGGAAGAATGACCAAAGACGCGGGCTGAATGCTTAGTCGAGGAACGTGGAATGGAGCCAACGTGCCGGTACGCTGCTGAGGCCGCCGACGACGCCTGCATACACGCTCAGCCACTGGCTGTCATCATCGCCCCGTCCACGCACCATGTCGACACTCTCCTCCCCCATATGCCGCGTTGCGGAGAGGCGCCCACCATCTCTTTGTTCCTCCTTTTGTGTGCCAGGCTACCCAGGGCACTCCCATGTTCCACATCGCCTCACAGCCAATGCCAGCCTCGTATTTTCCCCTCGCCCTGCCACTACCCAACCTGTCGACTGCGCCGCAGCCCCATCGGCCATGCGGCTTATTATTCTTACTCGACTCGTCTGTTGCACTGCTGACGCCTTGGTGTCTTCGTCTTCGTTCCAGTCTTCCAATAGACGCTACTATTAGTGCCAGCAAAATATGACGTCTGATCTTCGTGTTCAGCCCATCAATTCCGTCATGTTGCCTCGCGCCCCAGCGTTACATATCTACAAACGTTGGTGTCACGTGAAGACACCCTCAGCCCTTGCACTGCCTTGCCCTTCGGATACAGCCCCTTCCGATATGTCTAGTTCATCTGCCAAGTATATGCTCTATACCCGTGTAGGCACATCTATGCGCACTCTCCAAAATTGTATTCTTGGCTTGTGGTCTCTAAGTTGTAGTCATCAAGTATGCGTGGTCCAAGCTGGTACACGAACCGGTCCCACATGCGGGTAGATACCGGCATCCAAGGTGACTGTGCTGGGTTGCTCTTCCCACACACGGCAAGAAATTATCTATAACACAATATAAATTCCGTAATTTGACCATACAGTATCCAACAAGCGACTTTCCCAGTCATCTTCCTTCTTCAGTAGTATAGTGGTCAGTATTTCCGCTTGTCAAGCAATTGACAGATCGCGGGAGACCGGGGTTCAATTCCCCGCTGGAGAGCTTTCTTTTTGCCTTTTTTTGCCTTTTCATGGGCGGTCGAGTGGGTATTACTTTCCTCATAATCTCTCCACATAACGATTACATGTTTCAGTCATTGGCTGGTGATGCACGAACATCTCCCCTTCCTAGTCGTTTGAACGATCTGCTACCTTGCAATGGATCGATTGATCCCAAGCCAAGGGTTGTGGCGTTCTCGGCTGCCATCCTATCTCATTTGTCTCAGCCGCACCATTAAATGATAAGAGCTGAACTCCAGCTCGGCACAGCAAGACATTTTGATCTCCACTCTCTTTGCTCCGGGGCCTTCACCCTACCCCAGAAATCCTAGAACGCAATAATGGCTAGCACACTCGACTGCACACCTAGAGACAAGGTCGAAGCAAGTGCTGACATTGCGGGAAATGGTGTATGTTGTTATTCCCTTTTGTTGGACTCTACTCTTCCTCTACAGTGCTCCAAGGCTGAAAACTCCAGGTCCTAGCTGCATTTCTCCTTTCAGCCCTCCTCACGCTAGGTGCGGTGGTCTTTGGATATTTTTCAGAATCGCTACCTGAAGGATATTTCAACGAAATCGACCTGGCGCTCATCGACCGAATGCATTTCAGGCAGCATTTAGACTCCCTAAGGTCCAAGCTTGCAGGTTGGAAGGACAAAGCTCTCTTTCGAAAGCAGCCTTCACGTAGACGACGTAAACTAAGTCGCGATGAACGTCAAGAAGCGCTCACTCGGTTCATCCTAGCCTTAAGCGATCAGCAGCTGGCTACTGGGTTTGCGGTGTTGATTGGTGCGATCGCTAATCAGAGTTCGCTCACAGCTTACGATTTCAGGATTGCTTTTGGGCTCGCATGGTTCTCAGCAACGACTCACCTCGCAACCCTCGACGCACTCCAAGACTACTTTATTGCCCATGCTACCGTGAGGAAGTGGCGCATTTGTGGGATGGTGTTAATTTTGTTGCTCTTGATTTACTCCGGATTCCTTACATTGGCATCCCCTGACGATACCGTTCCTATGCAATGTCTTTACGAAGGAATCGACACTGGAGTGACCACCGGCGCCAACAATATAACCGGAATAGTTACCCATTCAACATACACTCGCTATTCAGACGATACTAGCTTCTCAGACTTCATTAGCCCGATCTCCTTATACGGAGTGCTAATTCCCTTCTTCATGCTAACTACCGGCTATGTTACTCGCATAAACTGGTCCCGAGGGAAAAAGGCAGATAACATTTTGATCGAGCGAATAATATTTCGCTGGAAATATAGACGTAGTGATTTCCCTCAAATTTTCCAAATGAATGCAGTCAACCGCATTCTTCTTTTCCGCGAGTTCAAAGCGGCGCAAAGATCGAGCTGGAAGCGTCAGCAGCTCGAGCATGTTGGCATATGCAGAGGATTCCGACGATCTTTCCGCGTACATACTTATGTTATGGACAGGTATGACGAGTCATTTCTGTCCTTAGGGCCCCCATTGATATTCATGATATCCTATGGCTTTGCGCAGTTGGTTTTCACTCGTTGGATGCACCCCCTCCCCATAGTCGTGGATGGAGGAATGGGGTTCGGTCAGATTACACCGCTTTGTTTCCTGATTATACCATTTTTAGCTGCCGCCGAAACCTACTACGGTAAGATTCTTCAGATGTTTAGCGAATGATCCCATTAAGCACGCTGACGACGAAAAAGAAGCCAAAACAGACAACACTACCGAAGAATCACAGAATGAAGCTACTACAGAAGAGACTGCAACCTCTATAGTTTCACCAACCAATCCGATCCGAGCCGATACCATTCCTATGACTCTTTCCACAGAGGACGACGAAGTTAAGCACCTATATCAGAGAGACCATGATTACAACGAAGCAGTAAACTCCATCAGGGTATACTTCTACGCCGAAGTAAATAACATCCAGAATGAGTGGAGATCAGCGAATTCTGCGATAGAGTTACTGGGAATTCTGCAGAAGAAGGAAGCTCTTCTTTGCAAATACCAAGTCCTCGAGGCATTCGAAAAGTCCTTACCGGTCAAGGTGCACTCATTGATTGCCTTTGTTCTCTATTCAGCCCTTTGCATTGCTATGGGAATTCTGCTCAACGCTCCTAGTCATGGCGGGCTAATTGGGATCATTGGATCTGTGATGCTGGTGTTTTACTACGCTGGTAGTGTTACTAGTTCTCTCTATTATTTCATATCGGTGTTTCGGGCCATGGGTAAGGATTCAATTATGAGAGCTTATGAGAGAATACCAAAAGACTGCACTGCAGCCGACAGCAGCTCATCATAAAATGCAGTTGCCTCTAGGACGGGTGCGAGGACTCCAGCTGACAGTGTAACCTCTCAACCTACCTTATCTTCAGTCCTCGATAGCGCAATGTTATGCAGAATTTTTACAAAGAACCCACTGATAAGCTTTGAATCCGCTGGAGAGCTCTTTTTTTCGTGATTTTTTTTCGTTGTGGTGGGTTGGTGGGGACAAGGAACAGCAACTGGGCGTCGCGTCTTTCCTGTGATGGGCTAGCGCCCTACTAGTGGCCAGGGCTTCGCCTTAGTAAGTGATCTTGAGTAACGTGCTCCACCAGTGAGCTGCGCACCCCAGTAAGCTGCGCACCCCACCAAACTTGACGCGACGCTCTACACCACCACCACTATGTCGCGACAACAACGCTCTATACAGACTTCTCGTAAAGGTAGAATAAGCCTTACTATCGCCTCCTATTATAATAATAAAAAACAATCTCTCCGCGCCCTTGCGAAAGCTTATAATGTGCTAGAATCAACTCTTCGAACGCGTCTCTACGGCGTCCAGCCACAATTAGAGATAGTATCTACTAAGCGAAAGCTATCGCCTATTAAAGAGTAGTCTCTCGTATAATAGATCTTAGACCTTAATTAATAAGGGTTTCCGCCCTATATTATTAACGTACGACGTATGGCAGACACTCTTCTTACTACGCGTAGCTAAGATCCGCCTCTAGCACCTATTAGTTGTGAGACGTTTAAGGGTTATTAGGCACGGGTAGAGCAAAACAATAGCAGTCTTGAGTAAACGGTCTGTATTTCACGTAGACGAACAGCTACCGAGCTTAGGTAGTATTCTCTATAATTATATCTACTTTAATAAGTCAGATATAACTAAGATAGGCTAACAAGAGCTAGACTAGCCCGGGATAGTGCAAGGCTGCCTATAGAGGGGAAGCTCTTGACAATATCCCCCCTCTTAGGACTCAATAGTCCTGAGAGAGTCGATTTGTATCCTTAAGAGCCCTCTAGTAGTCTTTAGTGCTTAATTAGTGCCTAGTAGAGTTTTCTTAGCTATTATAGTCTAGATTAGTCTAATCTAGGCTAGAGTATATATATAGGGAATTTTTCTTTTACTATAAGTAAGAGAAATCTTACCTTACTAGTAGTAGGGTAATTAAGTAGGTAAAGATAGTTATATTTCTAGGCTAGAGTAGTCTAGATTAGCCTAAATTAGGGCAATCTTAACTAGAATACATTTATCTTTACTTTCACTACATTTTCGCGCTAGCGGGCACTAGAAGCTTCTACCTAACGCTTAGGCCCTTTAGTCTAAAGTAACTTACTCTAGCCGCATAAGCCCCCTAGTAGTATATAATAGCCTCTCTCTACTAAGTTCTAGATTTCTCTACGCCTATTTCTCTATTTAGCTAGTAGTAAGTTTTACTTCTCTTTATACTTTTAAGCTTCCTTTAGTTTTATTTCTTCTCTATAGTTTAAGGGGCCCTAGATTAGCCTAATTTAGGCTAGTTAGGGCTTCTTTAGCCTTTTTCGTTACCCTTTTAGTTATTATAGCCTAAGCTAACTTCTTTAGAATTAATTTTAACTCTACTAGCCTACGCTACCCTATATAGATGTTATAAGTAACAAGAAGGATTCTCTCCTTGACAAGTGACGAGATGGCGGAAGGCCTATGGACGTCCACGTCAGAAGGTAATGATCAACGCGGGGCGCTGATCACGTGAT